AGCCGAAAAGGACGACATCCGCAGAGGCATACTGCTCCTGAACATCAGCTAGTACTTCTACTTCTGATAGCTGACAAGAAACTCCCATAGCTAAAACACTCATCTGTGGAGGTATACTCTTAGGCTGTTCAATATTAAATTGTTGACCATTAATACTACTTGGATATGTTTCATTCATAAGTAACTGTGAAAATGCTTCACGGTTATCACCATAAACAAATAAATATTTCTCTGTACTATCAATTCGCCAAAATGAAACCAAGTTGCGAGTTGTAATAATTCGTCGTTTTAATTCAACAATAAACTGTCTAGCGATCTGATCGGTAAACAAAACGTTTGTATTAGAAAATGAAATTTTCACCGGCGGAAATCTGAATTCCCAACTGAAACGTTCTGCTTCCTTTGAAATCTTGGAAACAGATGTCGGTAAAGATGGTGAAGTTGTTGCATCAAAAAATTGCTCATTTTGCGCTTCTCTCGGCTGTAATCGACGACGCTGGTGATGTACAACATGAAAAGCCTCATCATCACCTTCTACTGAATCATCCAACGTAGACTGAGATACCGTTGTAAGTGTTCGCTGCTCTAATACAGTTGTGTTAGCTGTATTACGGTTTTGTCGAATAGCCGTTGTTTCTAGTGATGGTTGTGAACTCATTTTTATACTGTTACCATCATCCTCATCGGTACTATGTAATAAGTCCGGAGGCGGCGAAAGTTTCCTCCGCTGGAACACTGTAATGGTGGTATTAGTAATTAGGAAGGAGTCGGAAAAGTATTTAAAAGTTACTTCAAAAAAAGTTAAGAAAACAAAAATTCGTTGCGCTCCGATCACACGCTACTCTGTATATATCTTCTCTCTCTATTGAAAACACCATATTAAGAATTATATAATACAATAATGATGATAAATGCTAAGAAAAATATGCTGAGAAATCAGAACATCAAGATATTCGAGAGAAAAGCTTCGAATCGATGAGATCATCATATTATAACGGATTTCGTTTATTGTGTGACTTGTACTCCGTGTTGTTAAACACCACATTGTGTTTTAATAATTTTTATTCACTAAGTTTTAAGCAAGGAAGGACTCCAAGTGATCCATCGCTTTTACCTTGAAATATAGATGATTATAAGTAATTTCTTATGCTGATTCCGAATCCAGTATTCATTTGTACTTCTCGGTTTTCCTACCACGGATCTCTAAACAGCCGGTCTCTGATGATCAATCGTACCATGTGAGATGGAGAGATTCTGATCTGTCTAAATTGTTTGAACAAAAGAAAATAGTCATTTGTTGGTCTTTCCACATAAGTTTTGGGAAAACATTTTTCTACTTAAAAAAAAACAAGCTTTTTTTCTATCGTTTCTTCATTTGAAATAATATCAATATGAGTTGTAACATTGTTAGCCGTTTTACTTCTGAAAATCGCTGCCTCCTCTCCGGCGCTTTTCCTTTTTAAGATTGGTGCCTAATAGACCTAGTATTGGTCTGTAACTCCTGTTTCAAGTCTAGATCCGGCCGGAGCCAGGACAATAATGGTTTGCAAGATTAGTTAGTGGTATCTACCTTTTATCCAACACAATTCTGTTTTTGTCAAGATGTTTTCATCAAAGAAGGACAATGTCAATGTACGTTCATGATAAAAACTTTATCAAAAAATATTTTATCATTACAGAGATAAACGAGTTTTATTGATGTTTAATCAAAAATCTACGCAGTAAAGCGACACCTATAACGCTTGAAGTAACATTCTGGGCATGACAACAGTGATAAACTTGGGACAGAAGCCCGCAAAAAAACGACATATTTATTCTCTAATCCTTAGAATGTCGTTTTCGTAGAATCGTATCGTTAAATGCCTGAGCTATTCCAAAAATGCGTCAATGACTCAAGTCCGACTTAAGTTTTCAGTCTTAACTTTAACACTACACTTCTCATGGCTTAAGTCACCCTGACTTAAGTTCTTTTGTGATACGGTAAACGACTTAAGTGTTTCGTGATACGACCGCCTAGAGGTCTAAAAATATTTCTGAATTCAAAGCAATGCTCACGCCTCCCTTCGGTCGGCGCTCGCTGGGAACCTAAATAAGAGATCCGGATTTTTTTCTGTTTTCATGTGTAAGGCTCGTAATCAGATATAAAAATAAAAAGCAAAACTCTCCAGAGTTCTAAAAATATTTATAAAGCTCATTAACTAATAATGCTAACACCTCCCTTCGGTCGGTGTTCACTAGTGGACCATCTACAATATGTTTGTGTTATACGCTTATATTAAACACGTTATAAAGAGAGCTCGAGCATTTGCGAAACCTCTTGTATTTTCGGATGGTGTTGGCTTTGTTTATTTTTTGTTTATTTTTCCTTGTTTATTTTACTTACTTTTTTCCTCGTTTCTTCTTTAATTCTTCTCATCTCGTTATCAAGATGAATAAACATCGCAAAACGCATGAATCTCCTAAAGTGGGTGAATCCCAAGCACCGGCTCTTTGTTCTTGCTAGGTTATCGTCACCGATAATGATAATGCTCTTGAATGTGATGCATGCGACACTTGGTTCCACATCGCATGTGTTAACGTTTCACCAATGGCATATACGGCGTATCAAACTCTAGCCGAACAACAACAGTTTTCTAACTGGTTTTGTCCAAAGTGTCTGAGTGATGCAACCGTCGATCGTGTTCCGCCTCGTTGTCATCAAACGTTATATGAGCGAATCGACAAGACTGAACATCATCTAATAATGATCGTCCGCCACTTCTCGGTATCGCCTCTAATGACTTGTCTGTCCGTTCGTCGATCTTGGCAAAGGCACCTGCGATAAAAAACTCGTCTGACGTTTCTGTCAAAATCGTTTACATCGGGAAGCATTTGACAAAACAACAATCTCTGCAAGCCTTTGAGACTCGACAACGACGGAATCAGTCGCAACAACAGCAATCTACTACGTGATCATCTGTTGTTGACATGGATAGTAATCGACCGAATCAAAATAGTGATGACATGAATAACAACCGTACCAATAACAATATTAATCGTAATAGTATTAATAATATCAATAATAATAATAATAACTCAAGAATAAACTCAATATTTATTCTCACAATATCCAAAGTCTTGTTAAGAACTTTGGTCTCATCATCAGGGACAAAACTTTCTTTTCTTTTAGCGATTTTGACATTCTATCATTTCAAGAAACGAATCTTGATTGCGACAATTAGTGATGGACAGATGGCCCTCTCTGGTTATTCTCTTGTTCGTCGAGATCGAAATCTTTTATGTAATTGTTACCGTTCGCAATCTGTTCCCGTTGATTTCTTTCTTGATGTTCTTCATACTTTTGTTTCTAACTATTCCTCTACCTCTTCTAACCTCCTGTTGTGTGCTGATCTTAATCTCAACTTTCATGTAGCTTCTGAAATGTTCAATATCTCTCTAGCTCTTTTCTGTGTTCTCTTGTTGATTTTTCTCTCACTACTACTTCTCTTACGTGTATTGACTATATCTTTTATCCTTCTTCCTGGAAGAATGTTTCTTTCTCTTCTTTTCCCCCTGTTGGCAGTTCTCGTCATTTTTGTTTATCTGCTACTTTTGATGCACCTGTTCAATCTCTTTCTCCTTCTACTTCTTATCGTTATGACTTTAAAAAAGCCCAGTGGTCTGAACTACGGCGTTTTCTCTCTTTTACACTTCATGGCCTCTATACGCTTTTCTTCTATGGCCTCCATACGCTATTTCTATATGCTTTTATCTTCAACCGTCTTTAACTTTTGGAATGCTGGAGTAAAGTGTGTTGGTGTATCTTTTGACTTTTCTAAAGCATTTGACGCTGTTCCTCATTCTCTCTTGTTAGAAAAACTTTCTCGTTGGGGTGTGTGTGATTGTTTGTTGTCTCTTCTATGTTCCTATCTTTCGAACCGTTCTCAGTGTGTGCGTGTGAATGATTCTGTCTCTTCTTCTTCTCCTGTTCCTTCTGGTGTTCCTCAAGGCAGTGTGCTTGGGCCTCGTTTATTTCTTATTTTTATTAACGATCTACCTCTGTCGCTTCCACCTAATTGTGAAATCTGTCTCTTTGCTGATGATGTTTTTCTGATTTTTCCTCTTTCCTCTACTGATTCTTCTAATTTTTCTCATATTCAAAACTGTATAAACTCTGTTTCTCACTGGTCTTCTTCCAATCTCATGTCTTTAACCG